AACTGTGCGCAATTTGTTTAATACACTAAGCAAACAAAAACATACGACGAACATCGGTCAATGACCGAACAACCGCGAGCAAAAGACCGAAGACGACACGAACAGCCGAGTGAAAAACCGAGGATAACACGAACGTTCGAGGACAGCACGAAAGTACAACCGAATGAAAGACCGACGACAACACGAACAGCCGAGTGAAAAACCGAGGATAACACGAATGTTTAACCAAATTAAAGATCGAGGACAACACGAAAGTACAACGGAGTGAAAGACCGACGACAACACGAACAGCCGAGTGAAAAACCGAGGATAACACAAACGTTTAACCAAGTTAAAGACCGAGTGAAACGGAGAGCTAGAACGACCAACCGAGTCAAAGTTCGGAAGCACGAACCAGCAATCGAGCTAAAGACCGACCCAACGACAAACAATCTTACCTCGTTCGTTTCATTGTCTTGTTTCCGTTTGCACCGCCATTGATACGTTAGCTTTGATTCACTAGGCTGATCAGGATCGACTGAACGACCTCCATCTAACACTATCTTAACGCCATTATCATAAGCTACGCCACGCCTGGTACCACCTTGTATAACACAGAACAAGTTGGACTGCCTCACATCGATAAACGTCTCATATTTATAACAKAGTTGGGCCGCCTGAGTRTTATAAGTAAGAGACATGTTGACTGTGTAGTTTCCTTCCTCTAGTTTCAAGGGGGGAATCAATAAAGTGGGCTTATCAAATTCAACGCTTCCAACATTAACGGCTGAATAACTTTTTAGATCAAAAACCCCCCATTTGTACGTCAAGGTTCCYTAATCACACTCGTCGCGTTTTTTTGTGAGCTTGCTATCGTACTTGATCTCTAATGCCTTGGCTTTAGTGATYATGAACGGGCTGCTTCTCTCGTACTGTAATGGTTTYATGATAGAGTATGGGCCACATTTAGAAGCTTTAACTGGTATTAGTGTRTTAACGATATCACCATTAGCCGAAGCATTGATCACAATGTTGCCRCCAAAGTCTTCYTTGTAGGTTCCGCTAAAAGTCGCTTTTCCTTCCAAAGTYGTCTTTCTTTTGATGTCTGACGATACGCCGTCGTTCATAGTGTAGTTGATAGGTATGTTTAAAGTTGAATAGATGGAGATTTCATAGAATTCTCCAGTTGATATTTCTAAGACACCGCTACATGTGAGCTGAGGTCGTACTTCAGTCATGATGTCACCTATTTTACCCTTAACGTATATTTTCACAGATTTGATCTGACTCCGTCCGTTGATGTTATTGGATGCCACGATCTTGACGGTTTTCTGCCCTCCGACGCTGAATCTGAAAAAAATTATAATACAAAAAAAAACATTAAATATCGTCAACACTTGTGTGCTTTCGTCGCATTTTGTGTTCTCAAGAAAATGAACACATAAAAAAAAAAAACGGTACGAAACGCATCGGTGTGGACGAAGCCTATTCGGCTTTCCCCGTGAAATATCGTCATTGCGTATGCCTCATCCACCGTTGCGTTTTCGTGACGTTTTTGCATTGTTCTCCGTCCGAAAAAAAAAACAATAGCAAGAGAACGATTCGTTGACGTATCAGTGTTTACAAACCCTACGGATTTATGAGATGTGCCTAACTATAGCTAGTTTCCTCAAACAATGCTYYCGATCAAAATCAATGTGCAGCCTTCACTTACAGAGCTTCAAGAGTAACAATYATACGCCAAAAAATGTTGGGGGACTTAGCTCAGTTTCCCAATAAAAAGACATAATAAAGTTCTCATGGAAATATGTATGATGATTATGAATCAGGAGTCCATAACGAGATTATAAATGGGTCAAATTGAAGGAAATACTCACATATGTGAAAAATTATAAAATGTGTTATTTGCTTCAAGATAGAATACGGACAAGACAAGTTCGTTGTCGATATAAACAGCCTGGGTTAAGTTGGTACCCCCAGCAACGGCTATAGAGAAGTTTGACGGTATGTCCACTTCCATAAAAGGACTGCTGTAAAACGTGATAGTACCCGGTGGTTTTTGAACACTGAACATTATCGATGAACTGCCGGCGCTGATGTTGTTAACTGCTGTCACCATGGCATTATGAAGACCTGAAAAGGTAACAATAACACTTATGAGCCGACTTCATGCAGCTGTTGCTTGAGACAAAAAGGGTGCTGAAGGACTTATATACGCATGCGTTGAATCACATCAGATGCAACGATAGTTACCTGAGAATAATTGCCTAGGTGTAAAGGCTCAACCGCTATCACTGGAAAAATCACGCGCTTTAAAGGTTGTAAATTTGATGTAAATATGATGTAAGTGTCCAAAATTCTGTAAATTTAATGGGAATCATTTACATCAATTTTACAGAATTTTGGACTTTTACATCATATTTACATCAAATTTACAACCTT